CATGCATTACAGTAACTTAGCCTTATCTGTCTTGACAGAGTAGAAGTGAATGTGGATATTACAGAATCTGAGCGAATTTTTCGAAGAGATAAGGGTGGTCAAAACAGTGATCAACTCTGCCAGCTGCCGAGAGTGTTAGCCCGTGATCCAGATTCGTGCGTGTGTCTGAAGTTTGTCCTCTTGCAACCAATCAGCAATGAGAAAACTTCCTTTGGTGTTTAGCTGTCGCTACGGCGGAGGGGTGCAATTCGCGCATGGCTCAAACGGTCGACTGACGGCGTGTTAAGCAGAGCAAATGTCGCATAAATAGGCGGCCGAGAATTAGATTGTTTCCGGTCGGCCTTCGTTGACGATTGCCTAGGCCTGCGAAAGAACAGCCTAGATTGCATCCTATATAGTCATGTAGTCTTACCTGTCTTGAAGACCTCAAGCGCTAAGGCACTAACCAGAAGAGATAAAGTTAGCATCGCAAAGTCTGAGGAGGAATTCAGGACTGTACATTTTGTTAAAACAATGGCGGTGGGAACAGGGATCAAAGTTTCCGTAAACTGACCTGTAGGACTGAAATCCAGGCTCGCTAGCATCAATTCCGACAGAAACGGGACCTTTGGTTGCAACAGCCCTTTGAAGGCCTACTTCATCGCCCTCTGGCAGTTCCACGTATCCAGTTATGTTGGCAACAATCAGGTCCGGACGATATCTGCAGACCCCATCCTGCAGAGGGCAAGGTAAACCTGTTAGCTAAAAGGTATTCCCTAAGGCATAGCCCTGAATGCATTTAGAGTATGGAAAACATTCAAATTGTGTATATTTTATTCACGGCTCTACATATACACGTTTGGGCTAGGGAAATTGCAAGGAAGATATGGAGCATATGTTTGGCAAAGGTCCATTTAGCCTCTCTCTCCTCTTAAATCCATACAGATCATGTTTCAGCATGTAACCGCAACTTTCGTCTCAGAGGGCAGTCTGCTGGCTTTTGACTGACTGCCCGGGCCAATCGCAATTGGAAGATGCCTAATTACACAAAGTGCACTCACGCTATTTACCCGCGTGGACTAAAACATATATGCTGGTAAAAATTCATTTAAGCCTTTATTGAAGTGTTTTACTGGGAGCAAGGGTAGCAGTCGGTCATAACAACTATGGCAACTATCTGAAAAGGCAGTTCGTCTGACAACTTTTTACCTGGTCTAGTCTCCGCGAGCATTTTACTTAATCTGACAGACCATATGACACTGTCGACATTTAATTAAATATTTTATGGACACTGGAAGTAACATCTGCAGCGAACTGTACAAAACATGGATGACTATATTTAAGAAAACGTGCATGGTACAAGCTGTTTCGATAGCCATCAAATTTTGAAATTCGTTAGTGGATAAGTTTTTCTGTCCTGTAGCTTTTAACATGTATGCTGATGTCGACAATATGCCCAGACATTGTATTATACCTGCCAGTGCATTTGATTTTAAAATGCGAGAGAATATCTTTCGTGAAGCCGTGTGCAGTATTTTCTGATAAGCCTTCTGTGGGTATTATCATAAACCCCGAAAGAATGCTGTACTTTAATCCGTACAGCTGGCATGAATCAATTGTTTACACGGGCACATGGTGTTTTAATGGTCTCGAAGCTAACCGACGATTTTATGGATTTAGTTGAGCAACTGGCATGTGGCCAGTCTGCAATTCAGAGGGTGTTACTGAAATAGCATTTCGGAATCGGAGCTAATGAAACTGACCCAGAATGGTCGCCCCAAATGTTCAGCCAAGAACCCGTTCAAGATGATTTCACTCAGAGTTTGACAAGAAAAAAACTATCAACATTACTGATGTTCTTCTAAGCAAATGCTCTGATTAAATAATTTACATATGAATGCACGAAAGACAAAGTGCCCAGAGTGACATGAAAGCAGTATCCATGGTGTAGCTCTACATAATGTTTATAATGTATTCGGACTCCAGGAAATAGTTAATGAGAAGCGTCTAACGTAGACAAGGTCCCGGATATTCGAAACCGCTAAAGCGCACCCTGTAATGTTATTTAGACAGAATAAACGCGCGTAGCGTACGTATGCGTTGACACCTCGACTTTTAATCCTGCCTTTAAATTTGTGTCTGCCAGGACTACGTCTATGGAACGTCACTCCTCCTAATCTAAATCAGCAACTGTGTCGATAACCTAGGCCGCAGCACCGTTATGTTTGAAAAAAGACGTCAAAATCTGAAAAGTCGCCAAGCCTGGCACATGCAGGCACACACTTCAAGAGAGTCTGGATCGATTTGGTAGATGATCCGCTTTTCGACTTCTAAATTTTAACTTCGGTAAATTTTTTTGTTCCAGGACACCTTTCCAGAAGGACCAGTCACGAAGATTACTCTTTCAAATCGCTTTTCAATAGGCATCTCCTTGCAATTCGTGAAAAACAGGAAAACCCTGGGGTTTAAGTGGGCTCGAA